CTGCTCCATCCAATGGGGAAGGAGATCCCAGCACGGGGGTGCTGAGGTCTCCCCACGGCCCTTCTGCTGCAGACAAGCTCTGGTATTGCCGCCTGTCACCCAACCACAAGGTCCTGCACTATGGGGACGTGGAGGAGGGGGTGCACTCGCCCCCCATTGAGAACTTGCCAGAGAAAAGTAGGTGATGGAGAGACAGAGAGGGTGGGAAGGAGGGAGGGGAGCCCTCTGACCCTCCCTGGGTGGGAATGGCCTCTTGGCCTAGCCCAGTGCCTGCTGGTATGGTGGGACTGGGAGCTGTGGGAGTTCAGGCTGGGGCGGGCCAGCTCTCCACAGCCCCCCCCACAACTGTGGGTGCTTGTGAGCCCTGTCTTGGGCTCTGCTGGGCGCTGAGCACTGAGGACCTGGGGGACAGGGGAAAGAGGAGGAGGCACTTCCAGCTCCTCTGCTTGCCCCAGTTCCTGTGGTGGACATGAAGATGCTGCTCGTGGGGAAGGAGTGTCCGCACACGAAGGAGAAGAGCTCAGGGAAGCAGAATAAGGTGAGCACCTCCCAGCTTGCCTTGCACAGGGGCCCAGCATGCTCCTCTCCCCTCTCCTCCCCAGCTGCCCCTGGGTTTTGGTGGATGGTGGCAGGTCGGGTGGTTTCATTGGTTTTTTGGGTGTCTCACTCCAAGAAGGACCTTGAGGGGCTGGAGTGTGGCCAGAGAAGGGCAACAAAGCTGCTGGGGAAGGGTCTAGAGCCCAAGTGTGGTGAGGAGCAGCTGAGGGAGCTGGGGGTGCTGAGCCTGGAGCCAAGGAGGCTCAGGGGAGACCTTCTGGCTCTCCACAGTTCCCTGACAGGAGGTTGGACCCAGGTGGGAGTTGGGCTCTTCTCTCAAGAAACAAACAACAGGACAACAAGAAATGGCCTCAAGTTGTGCCAGGGGAGGTTTAGGTTGGAGCTGGGGAACAATTCCTTCCCCTTGAGGGTTGCCCAGGGCTGTCCCAGGCTGCCCAGGGCAGTGGTGGAGTCCCCATCCCTGGAGGGGTTTCCAAACCGTGGAGATGTGGTGCTGAGGGACATGGGTCAGTGAGGACCTGGCAGTGCTGGGGTGAACAATTGGACTCAGTGATCTTAAAGGTCTCTTCCAACCCAAACAATTCTATGATTCATGAACAGTGGTGGGTTTTTGATGTGGCTAGAGAGTGGAGACCTCTCGGTCTTCTGGGGTGCAGAGGAGGAGGCCAGGAGGCAGCTCCTGCTTGGAAGCCCACTGGGGCTGGAAGGGGAGCAGCTGAGAAGCCAGCTGCCCGCTGTGCTGCTCCTGCAGGATGTCCTGGAGCTGGCCTTCTCCATCGTGTATGACGTGGAGGAGTACTGCCTCAACTTCATCGCTCCCACCCGCTACGAGGTGAGCTCCAAGGGCCTGCTGGGCAGGCAGGCACCAGCTACAGCCAGGGGACAGCAGGCGGGGAACAGAGTCTTGTTTGTCCTCCAGCCCACTCTCCTGGCCTTCCCCGAGGTGGGAGCCACATCTGGGGGGCAAGGTGGGTTCTCCAGCTGCCCAGGGCTGGTGCTGGAGATGCCCATGCTCTGCTCCCCCAGTTCTGCCTCTGGACGGACGGGCTGAACGTGCTCCTGGGCAAGGAGATGACGAGCGAGCGGACGCAGACGGACCTCGACATCCTGCTCTCCATGGAGCTCAAGCTGCGGCTCCTGGACCTGGAGAACATCAGCATCCCCGACATCCCCCCTCCCATCCCAAAGCCCCCCAGCAACCTGAACTTCTGCTATGACTTCACCCATGCAGAGCAGTGAGTTCCTCCCTGTGCCCCATCTCCCACCCCCAAAATCAATTCCATTCCTCCAGGCTGTCCCCCACGGACACCCCGCCTGTTTAGGAGCATCTGTTTTGGCCTAGAAATCGGTTAGAAAAAGGCCAAAACCCCTTTTCCACTCAGTTTGGCAAGCGGATGGCAGCCCTGGGGAACAGTGAGCCTGCCTGGCTGTGCCATGCTGTGCCAAAATGTTTCCCTGCCGCGCTCCCGTGGCTGGGGGTGTGTGTGTTTGGGGGACGGGTGTCCTCTCCCAGTGCCATTTCAGTACCATGGGGTGAGAAACTGCCTTCTCCCCAGCCCGGTGCCAGCACCTCCTCAGGGCTCTGGCTGCTCCTGTGGGTGCTGCGGGTAGTGGGGGCTCTGAGCAATAAACTGGGCAATAAACTCTGGACAATAAACGCTTGCGGAGAACTCTGGGATGTGTCAGAGAATCCGGACGGGTGTCCTCTCCCAGTGCCATTTCAGTACCATGGGGTGAGAAACTGCCTTCTCCCCAGCCCGGTGCCAGCACCTCCTCAGGGCTCTGGCTGCTCCTGTGGGTGCTGCGGGTAGTGGGGGCTCTGAGCAATAAACTGGGCAATAAACTCTGGACAATAAACGCTTGCGGAGAACTCTGGGATGTGTCAGAGAATCCTAGATTCATTAAGGTTGGAAAAGACCTCGAAGATCATCAAATCCAACCATCAACCCCACGCTCCCCTGACCACTAAACCGTGACCCCAAGTGCTACATCC